GTTATGTCTACCTGAGTTGTGTCGATGATGGTCAGACAGCTGATGGATGGAGAGTAAAGAGGACCAGAGGAGTATCCACTGAGGGCTGTAGTACAGCTGCAGACTTTAGAAGGTTTAATAATTCCTTCTGTGTTCTGGATCTCTCCGTCTCATCTGGTGGAAGTTTCTGGTGTGAAAACTCATCTGGACAGAAGAGCGATGAAGTCTCCATCGCTGTTTCAGGTACAAAAAGCGATCTGTTCCCATCTGTCTTGCTGTCTCTGTATGACTCTGCTTTGTGGACCTCTGTCTCTAAATGACTCTGTTTGTCTCTGCTGGTCAGAAAAACAGTTGATCCTGGAGATCCCAGCGCTTCCAGTGAACACAGGAAGTAATGTCACTCTGCTCTGCAAACCCAGAAACGGTTCAGCAAAAAAATCGTATTTCTTCAGAGATAAAGTCAAACTTGGACATGGAACTGAAGGAAAATGGATTCTCCATAATGTGCAGCAGTCTGATGAAGGGCTCTACTCGTGTTCTACTCTTATTCATCAGTCTCCTCAAAGCAGGCTGAAGGTCAAAGGTCAGAGCAGCGACATCACTCCTGCTTTAAAGATATGAGTTGGGGGCAAAAAAAATCTAAAACTAATCCCTCTCTCTCTTTACTCCAGGAAGTGAGAAACTTAAAATAAGAAAAGCATTCATTCACAAGCATAAACTAAACTGCTGACCTGATAATAAACTGAACCATCTTCATCGTGTCTCTTGCAGAGCCTCCTCCTCCCCCTCACACAACCATAATGTACACTCCTTCACCCTCACCCTCACACTCACCCTCACATTCACCCTCACACTCACCCTCGCCCTCTGGTAATACTGAGCCTTCGGCCTCTTCCTCTCTTCGTCCTCGTTCACCCTCTGTGTCTGTACTAAGACTCTTCTGCCACCTGCTGGTTTTCTGTCCATACTTCATCTCTACCATCCTGCTGCTGTTGATCTGCTGCAGCAGGAAATGAGGTACACTCTCTTATCTAGATTTCAACACATACACCAATCATCCACTTCAGTTCTCCATCCTGATTTCTTAACTCTGCCCACAGGTAACAAACATGATGTATCCATGGAGATGACCGAGGAAGAGGATTGAAGCTGCAACATTTTCAGTGTTTCAGTGATTTCTTTTTTAATCTGTTGCATTGATGCGTGTGGGGTTTTTTTAAGGTTCATGATTACACTAAAAAATCAAACATTTGTGAAATATGAAAAAACTGGGCTAATATAGGTGTATTTATGTTTGTTAAATGATTTATAATTATTGGTTGTATTTGTATTAAAGGAAATTCAGATCAGCACATTATCTTTTTTAAACACCTG